TAACTTATTTGAGCAAGATTTGTTAGGTCTTTTTAAGATTAGTTATGATTTAAAAGAAAAAAAAAATTATATAAAATTTCACTCTAAATCTCACATTCACACTTAAAATTTCATAGTATTTCTCTAAAATTTGATCATCTTAAAGGTCTCAAATCTTAAAAAATCTCAAAGTGACACTCAAAATTCTAAACGAATACATATTATACATATTATTTAATATTATTTACCTGTGCATCGCACGGGCCACATGCTAGTTAACATAAAAACATATATTTTAGTACAAATGTCAATTTTATTAGGAAATATAACAATTAAAAAAAACATTAAAAAAATCTAACATTTGATAAAATAATATGAGCATTTTTATATACGTAGTATATTACGGGTTGGTATGTCTATCACACAAGATTTGTTTTAAAATATTTAATTAAACGAGAAAGTTGAATTCTAAACAGTCAACATTATCTACAAGTTTGAACGTCCAGCCCGGTGATTGCGGCCCGGCCATCATCCCTCAAGCCAATTTTTTAATTNACTGATTTTGATCTCACTGTGTCAGCACATGATCAAAGGTCAAAGTCAAACAGCTGTGTTATCTCTTATCAATTCAAGATATAGAGTATAATTCGAGATTTGTCGCTATAAATAAATAAGTATTTGATTTTGAAAGGGTTTACGCGTCAAAGACAGAAGGAAACAAAAAGCAGCTCGTCGTGTGGGGAGTGTCATCTGTTTGTTTGTGTGTATGCGCCTTTTATTTTATTATAAATAATATAATTTTAGTGGGTCGCTTTTTACTTTTTAGCCCTTTACTCAGACCTAATACACTTCCGATTCTTCAGTAAACAAATAAAAATAAAGCAATTGAAACTGAAATCACTTCCAAACTAATCTTATAATTTCCGTAATTAGTGGCTCTCTACTGTTTTAGTGGGTCACTACAAAACACTAGAATTGTATTTTGGTAATTACCATAAGTCAATTTATATCCCGTTCTTAATTATCTATCATCTTAAAAGAAAAATTAGTATTTTATCTTGTACAAATATGCAAATAAAATTTTATATGTTATATGTGTATTAATAATCAAAATCATAAATTAGATAATGAGCATCACTTTTTTAAATTTTATCATTACTTAAGTTGAATTCCAATTTTAATTTTCTAGCTACTTGTCGAAATTGGTTTTAAAAGTGCTTCCATTTTTCTTTTGAAAACTATAAATATAAACTATTTAATTTATATAATATTCTTTATATTGATTACAATAATATAATTTTTGCAATCTTGATTGATTAATAACAAATTAATAAATTGATTAATAACAATTAATAATACAAAGTAATATAATATTATTGTTATAGCAATTGTGTTCAAAATTTTAAGAGGTTTAATTAAGCCATAAAAAATATTAACAAGTTTTAATAAAAACTTATTTATTGAGCTGAAAAAGAAAATAAATAATAATCTTACATAAATAGTTTGAAAATAACATAACAAAATATCATCTAGTGTGACTTTATGATTAGTTAATCATAGTTATTATGTAATAAAGAAATAAAATACAGTTATTTAATTAATACGAAATTTAACGAAAAAAAAAAGGGGAAAACGACAACACTTGTCATAAAATTTTTTCCTAACAATTATAAACATGGACAAGAAAATTAATTATGCATCTTACCTTTTGTCAATTTATTTGAATTATATATTTAGAAGTTAGCTTCTTAATGATAATTTGCTCTATCCCCACACTTTAACTAATTTTTTATGTTTTTTTCTCTCTCTCTCTCTCTTCTAACATTTGTGTATACTGATATAATTAAAATATTTTGGTCTAAAATTACAAATATTATCAAAGAAAAATCAAATGTAAAACGCATTTAAAAGTAAATGGGGGGAGAAGTTTATATAGTTATAGGTTTTTTCTAATCAAGCAAGTGTGATTTTCGTAGGATAAATAAAAAGATTGATCTTATATATCATATGCTTCTTAAAGATTAACATTTGAAAAAAGCCTACTCAAATAACTTATAATTTATTTAATTCTTTTATAAGTTTCTCCAATTCAAATATGTTTGAATATGTAGGATGATTTTTTTTTTAAAAAAAGAAGATTCATCTTATCTCATATACTTCTCAACGTAACAATTTAAAGATGCTTCTGAGACATTTGCTTTAGTTGACATCACTACTATATCAAACACTTACATCCTATAACTTTTCAGTCATCATATATCAATTATCAATCAGATTGAAATAATTTATGAATTATGACTATCCATGATTGTTGCTCTTACTCAACATATGCCCCAAAGTTTGGATGCATATTGTTTTGTTGCATAATATGTGAAATTCAAAATATTATATAAGAAAAGTATAAAAAATTGAAACCATCTGAAGGTTAGTTCGGGTGGCTAGAAGCTGAATTGCATATCAATCTATTATGGGTTTCAGAAATTTCACATAATTTCAACATAAGCCCCTAATCGAAGTAAAGAACATTTGTATGTATATGTGGGCTTAAGTATTGGGCCTATAACGTAAGTTAGGATGAAAAACAGGGCCCAATATTTAATTGACTAACTAATAATACTGGACCCAATCAGAAAATACTGGGCCAAAGCATTGGGCCTGAAGCTTAGCATAGGATGAATAATACTGGGGCTAATTGTTAATTGAGTGATGTTGGTGTTGGGCATGACAAACTACTTCACGTCTTCGGGCTTTACAATCCGAAAGAGGCGGGCTTCCGATTTCTTGGACCAACTAAGTCGAGCATATACTTTTTCAATAGGGTGTGTTCGAGCCTTATGTTTTGTCGCTGTTTTAGTTAAATTTGAGGGCTTAACAGCAAACTTTATTGAAAATGCCAATGAAGTGATTATTCTGAATTGGGTACTGGGATTCTCTTGTTTCAGCAAGGTGACGTCAATATGGGCTAGTAAAGTAATGGGCTACGTGTTGTAAACCCACGAAGCTTCCTTTTCTTATCAAAGACACTAAAATAGTGGACATATGTATTGAGAAATGAGGAATTTAGCCAAGTCATTTGGTTTTTATGGCACATATACAATATAATTATATCTTATTAGCATATATATACAATCGACTATTCAGTTTTTATTGCACATATATGACATGTATATCTTATTAGCATATAAGAATTTATTTGTGTTTGTACCAAAACTCAAATAGTTGTTTCTTTTTTTCTTTTTTTGTAGATTTTTAATATGGG